ATTTGATATTGTTTTGGTTCAATATGGGCGACTGAAGATTGGCGACTAAAGTCCGAGGCCATGGAATAGGCCCTCATCCAGGAATCGTCCCTTTAATACCTCCTCGAAGAGATGTTCTTCAACTCGCAAACCCAAAAGGGGTCACGCACAGCGCCACTAGGTCGGGAGGGCACAACGCCAAAAGAGCGAAAGATTCTTGCCATATATCATTGTATATCCTAGAAGTCCATGCCTCTTGGGACTCTTGGGATCACCTAAAGACCATATTTACAAACAAATGAGCTCGACTCCCAAGGTAGATGTCCTAAATTGGATAGGTGCCCACATTTGTTGAGTAACTGAGTAACGTTCTTTTTGCTTAGTTCTTTGACTTTTTTTGGTGCTGAGTGATAAATGATTTGTCTTTGCGCGTTCAACCTGTGTTTGTTTTGAGTATTTGGTGGAGTCATGGGTTGTTTCAAAGAGTCGGAAGGCGAGACGTGCAGGCTTTCAAAAGGACAACCCTAAAGAGCCTGAAGTGGGCACCGGTATGTCAGCTACATTCAACGAAATTGGCATCATTAAGCACATGTATCCACCCCTTAAATATGCACAGGTAAGGGCAGGGTGACATTTGTTTTAATCGTGTAAAACCTCTTATTTTGATATGGGAGGTTTTATTCATCTAAGAGTCTACATTAAGGAACGCCGCTGGAACAAAGCTCTCTGCAGCAAAGGCCGCCCTTGGGAACCCCGGCCAGCCCGAGCGCTCCTGACTCAGCTTTTGAAAGAGCATCCGTGGGGGTCCCGTCCTTCTGGTTGGTGGCCAACTCATTGCACAACGAGTCAAAGGGTTCACTATGGTTCAATCATCTCAAGTTAAGGTTGAGAGGAAACACATCTGAAACTACCACCCAGTGATGTGGTTGCTTGATGTTCCTTGTGATTTCACGTGGCTTCACTCAGCTGCGGTTTGCGACCTAGTCCTTAGAGCGGCATTGCCGAGCTGAGTGGTAAGTGGTAAAGCATGGTAAAGGAGCACCTGTCCAGATGGGTCCTGACTTGGATGAATATGGGATGTTGGACTGGATGTTGGTTCCCATGGTCACAACATGCGACAAAAAGATATTATATACCCAGTAGCTCAAGAATGGTCACATGCCAACATGGCTTAACATATCCATATATATGAGTCATATGATATCCTGAATTCTATCAGCGGGCGCTGGAGGATCAAACTTGGCTCACACAATCACCTCATCCAACATCAAAATAGACAAGCGAGGTATCTTCGTAGTTGTGCCTCGTGAGCCAATGCAACCCGACTTCTTCCAACTTCTTTATAGGCATTCTATCAAATTCTATCCAATTTTTTTTAAAGTAGTTCTATACTTATTCCATTCTATCTACAGTAAATAAAATCTAATGAATGATGGTATACTCACATGCTTGCTGCGCCATCGACCGACGTCCTGATAAGCTTGCAAGTTCGCGAGCTTCACATCGGGGTTCTCCCACCTGCGACCAACGGGACGCGTTTGGAGGTAGCTGAGTTGGTGCTAATTGGATACTGGGCAGGGGGGGGAAACGGGGTTCTCATCATTCCAATACCCAGACACTCGATGTATGCCATATATGGCATACATGGAGTGTCTGGGATACACCAGAAAGCCGATAAAGGACCCCTGTCCCGAAGCTCTTCCCGAAGCTCGGAGGAAGGCGATTTCGCGGCGGCCATGTCCGCCACTTCCGCACAGACCCGGCCCGGCCACCAAAAAGAAAACGAAACTTCTGTCCAGTGCTGGCACCTCAATGCTGGCGTCCGGTAGCTGCTCCAGATCGGCCAAGGGCCACTAGGCCGCGCTCCAGGGTAGAGGGGCCTCGATAGACGGCAGAATGGTGCAGTGGGAGGGAAGTGCAGCGAAAGAGGAGAAAAGGAGGGAAGGATCATGTTCAGGTCGTTATACAGAATCTTAAACTTTGGTTTTGCAGTTCACTTCCGTTTGAGAGAATGGTTTGACTTTCGAAACGTGGAAACTTGATCAGAAGGATCATGTGATCTATCAAAAACCCTGACCATCCCTTGCCATGGTATGGTATGGTTAGACTAGAGACGACTAGTGATGGGATTGGATCGTCTTGGGTGATGGGTCACACAATCGTGACGGTAAGCTGCCGAGTGGGTTGAATTGAATCTTTGGAATTTCTGCAACGTTCCACCTCCTCGTAGGGTACTCACCTACTGGACCAATTCCAAAAAGGGATCTCACCCAAGCTGCGCTTAAGTGTGATGTTCCAGTGTTGACCCAGCCCAGTACATCCCCCGTGCTGTATCACCAGTTGGGAGGTGAAGCCTTCTTAAACTACAGAACTGGTTAATGTTCAACCACCCTGAAACGGACTTCCTTGCACAAAGATATACAAAAATGATCAAAAATGCATCCCGTCTGAGCACTGAGAACCATCACCTCATAAGGACTTCATCCATGTCCGTTTCCACCTGTCCCATTCTTCCAATCTGATTCGCAAAATGTCCAGCAAGCCAAAAAACTCGGCGTGACGGTGGGTCGACAATTCCAGTGTCACACATTATCTCTCCCTCCGGCCCCCAACCTGATAATCCACGCAGATGGCACGCTTGGAAGGTGAATGTGTTCTTCTTCCAGCTGGAGGAACTGGTTATTTTCGCAGAGGGGTGCACATACACACCTTGTCAGTTGGAACTATGGAATCCAGGATCTTCTTGACAAACCCGGTCTGTCCACTTCGACAGTAGCCACATGTTGTATTGATTTTTTCTACCACGAACAACCCAAAAGGAGTATCTCCAGTCATCTCCCGTGATCCAACCATGGTTTTCAGGGTCTTTATACCCAAATAGTAAGGATTTTAGTCCACAACACTAGGTCAACCTGTCCTTTCATGGTCTTTAAAGGCTATAGGGCCGCCTGGGAACAAAGACTTGTCACTTAACTGACTGACCTCTCGAAATTCGAAGGTCCGCCCCTAAACCCCTTGGCGCTGGCGGACTGAGCCTCCCCACGCTCGCTTGAGCGAAGGCACCGACTGTGTCTTGCGCATCGGCGCTGGCGTTCGCGGCCTGTGGAGGGCGATGGGTGGCAGGGTGCCAGTCGAAGTCATAAATACTCATAGTCTTCCAAAGGTCCATGCGAGGTTCCACGGTATTCTTCCAGGGTAGGTGCACGTCCAAACTAGATGGGTGGTGACCTCAACCATGTTATTGAGTCCTTTGAGATCCACTGTGGAGCCATTAGACCGTCTGCAGGGTCAGTTCAGGCTTCCAAGCAGAAGAGCTTGCGAGTTGCACGGGCTCTTCAGCCTGAAAAGCTTGAACAATGATCGGATCACAAATCATAAACCCTAGTAGGGCTCCAACAAATATACCATCCAAATTTAAAGGTTTTACGGTAAATGGCGCTTGCTTCTTTTGATCAACAGTCCACATTAGGGCTCCACTAGCCTCTCAGAAGATAGGGACAGTCGGACAACCCCACCAAAACCACCCACCCAACCACAAAATAGGTATTATAGTTGGAATTAGTTGGAACCCATCCGGGAATCCCGGGGAAACCAGAAATCGGTTCGTAAGAGTTGAATAAAGCCCCCACCCCCGGTCTTCAAAATGGTTTTAGATTTGCTGGTGGCCTGGTGGCCTGGGATGTATTTACTGGCTCTCCCAACACCGGACCCAGGTCGACGATCGCTGCGTCGGGTATGTATCGGACATGGGGGGGGCCCTACTAGGCCCCAAATGATTCTGCTTCGTCGCGGAACTGTAGCGGAGTCTGTGCATCAAGTCATATGATTCTCAACAAAAACAAACAAACAAAGAACCAAGTCAATCACAGTACGAACCTCGAATCTCCGCACGAACAGGTGGGGGGGGCATGAGCAAAGTCCAGCCGAAAAGGAACATGTTCTTGTCCCAAAGGGTCCAGCACCATCCTGAGGATGTCTTTTCGCCTCCAAGGTGGCTCTCTGGAAGTACTGAAGGGCCTTCAAAACCCATCTTAGCAGCGTCTATCGGGATTGTAGCACCCCAAAAGATTCCAATTGGTCTTCTTCCACCGAGAAGACGAATACATCAGGTGACACCGAGCACCGTGCCTCGAATCCATTGGCTTGTCAAATCATGGCTGCCGGTCAGATCGAAGCTCCGGAGCCCAAATGTGCGCGGCGCGCGCATTTGGAATCCGTGCGGAGGAACACGGTGGAGGACCTCGACCTCTAATGTGCGAGAAAACAGACACGCACTCATGGATTAATGGTTTTATGTTGACTTTCCAGGCTCAGCAAAGAACCCTGGAAGGATTGAACTCAGGTTTGACCATCCAATGAGATCTGAAAAAAAAAACAAGTCTCTGCTGATCTGGGGAATGTTGCCAGTGCGTGTCTCACCTTCTCAGGATAAAACTGCTAAAACATGGATAATTCGTGATGGAGGACTGGCAGGCTTTAAATGGGTCATATTGGACACACACCTTCATCATTCTGCCGATTGGGTTCGCTTTTGGAGGCTTTGCTGATGTTGAAAAAAAAAACAAACAAACAAACAAACAACATGCAGTCTCTTGCTCAAACCAGAAGCAGGCTCCGTTCTGTCGAACCAGGCTCCGTCCGGTGAATTGGTGAAGGCGGATCGAGAACCGCATTAACCTTCTTAAAGGACCAGTTTCCCCCGCATTCGTAAAAGAAATATATATATATATACCGCCTTAGGATTCAATACACGAAGAAAACGTCAGGTCTGAGTGAATACCCGGGGTTTTCAGATGAAATATATATATATATGTCTTTTTTTTTTGGGGGGGGGGGTCAAAACAGATCAACACCTTGTTTGATGCAATCGACCCAAGAAGTGAACAAAACAACCAGCAGTGCTCATTGGTTTTGAGTGGATTACTGGGCGGGACAATGGGCTGCTTTGTTCACATCCTGCAGCCTCGTTGGTCGAAGAAGCATCCCCAAAAACCACACATCGTTTGCATCCCGGATCCTGCCTGTGATCGCCCCCACAAGCCTCATGAGACCACGATCAAGCCCCCCCAAAAGCAGACTCCGGCGGATCGGCTGAATCCGAACGCCAGTGGTACCACAGCTAGTAACAGCCAACCAGTTCCAAAGACCAACGTAGATGCAGCTCTTTATCGGTGGGTCGCCTGAAATCTGGACTGGTATACCTGGACCTGAACCTTCAAGGGGTGTCCTGTCTGGAGATCCTGGCTACAAGGAGTAGTGCGGGGGGCTAGTAGAAGCCAGGTGACCCCGTAATGAAGGTGCTGGTATACATTCACTCCTGGGGAAGTCAGAGCCCAAAAGGAAAATCGAAAGGCTCCAGCTGACTGAACCACGTGTTCCTCCTCGATTTCTCTGTGTGATGGTTCCCCATGAATGGGCGTACGTAGCTAGGATGGCCAGGAAATCGTCTGCTCTAGCTTTAGTTCAATTTTGGAACTTCTTATATACATACCTGGTAGCATACCTGGTAGCAAATAAAAAACAAACTTGGGAGCTGAACACATTGATTTACTACATGACGCCTCATTCATCGCCTCTGAACTTCTGGTGGTGGATACCTGTTTTTCATGGCTGCAGATCGACCGGGGAGTTCTTTTAGTTCGTAAACCAACAAATCATTTGTGGGTCGAGTCGGCGGCGTGAGCGGCAGCATGCCATCGTGGCCCGGATGGTCGAACGGTGATGATCTACGCTGCGGCGCTTCCGGCAAGTCCTGACGATCAAATGAGTCGTCACGACGCGCCCAATGAGATTTGCTCCAACCAAAGTGCAAAACGTCCTTCACCAAGCATGACTAAATCGGGGCAACAAAAAAACTCGAGCAAGCTAAATGATTTGCTGTTCAGCAATCTGGAAAACACAACCAACTCTTCTCACACTCTCATCCAAAAGGGGATTCAACCAGAACTGGAACATCCACAAATCAGCTGATTTTCCAGCAAAGCCCATCCAAGCGTCGCTTCTCATACCCCTACATGTTCAACCGTTCAACCCCCAAGAACCCTGTGGGTGGTGCCCTAAACCCTCAAACCCGTACGAACCCGATGGAGACGACCGTGCATGGCTCCGCTCCAGGTTCCCGGACCACCATGCGAACGGCCGCCCCACACCGCACCGGGGACCGCACCGGGGCGGCAGACCTGTTCGGTTGCGATGCCCTTGAGACGTTGAGATAAAATCTTGGGGGTCTATTTGATTGATGTAACGTACATCATGTACATCTATATGCAGATATATGCAGCAGTATACCAAAATCCATGGAAGATCCTTGAGATGACATGATGTTGTTTCGGAGATGGATACACACAGCACACACACAAATCAAAGAGAGAGAGAGAGAGAGAATCTTGCACAATTGTCCTTACTTAGCCTCCGACATCGCCAACGCAAACGCCATGTTTGTCGCATCTTGATCAAGACCTTCCCCCCCCAATGGTTCCGCAGATGAATCACTCAGATCTGATCACAGCGTCATTGGATGAACATCCCGATCAAGCTCCAATCAAGGCCACCAACGGCCGACCTCCGCCCCCGGCCTCCGCCAGCTATAGATGACGCCTTCGCGCTGCCCGTCACCGGTCACGTCCGAAACGCGTCGACCGGTGCACGAAACGCGTCTCGGCCGGTCGGACTCGGGCGTCGGTTCTTTTCCGGTTGGGCTTCGGGAGGGGATCCCTGAAGTTCGGAGACGTCTCCGAACAAAGGACTCGAAAGTCGGGGCACTGGCACGGAGTTGATCGGTGGGTGAATTGGAAGTGGCACGGAAACAACATGTCGCAACTGAAGGGTTCTCAGTTGAAGCTCAATAAATATACGTACAGCCTAGCTTCTCCACGTTGGATGCGATTAACATGCATCCGATGTAGACTGTTGATGACTGTTGGATTCCGTTCGACACTTGTGGAGTTTGTTACAAACACAAAGCAAGTCGGCCTGTTTCACATGCTTCAGCGGTGATTCAGTGGCAGTGGTTCTTGGTGACAAGGAAAAACCTCTGCCCCACCTCAGGATAGGCCGTGCATGGCTACACACTCTACTTTAGGTCAATCTTTTGGTTGGTTTTGTGTGTTCGTTCTTATGATTCGACATGCTCACCCCCCGAACACGTGCACGGAAAGAATCCACTCGCCTTCGGCGAAACAGACCGGGTCCTCCGTGCAGGTGGTCCTATACTTGTTGATTGGTTTGTCGGATGCAAACGCACCATGTGTTTCGCTCGTCTTCTTCTGTGTTGCTTTGAGGTACAGGTTCTCTCGCCTCCGTCTTTGAGTGCCGAGAGGTGCAAGCCTGCAGCGATGCCTGCAGCTTGCCGACAGGAAGCGACACGAGCTCCAGGAGACCATCGGACCATTCATGTCTGGAATAGTGACCTACATGGATGGGTCTGCAAGACCAAGCAAGGCGAAGCCATATTGCCATATAATGAACACCAACGAAAAAACTGAGGTGCCACTTAAGTGATGCTTTCTGTGGTGATCCCGGCGTGTCTTCGACTCATGGAAGAATCCCTGCCACTTGGCGGTTCCAAGGTCGACCATGCCGTAACTTGGTGTCTTCCTGCTTGGGAAAGCTTCTGAGTAGCTTCTGAGTAGGCCCCCCTTGTCCCGAAAGAAACTCAAGGGGCAACATATTGTCTGTCCATAAAATGAACCCCGATATAGATGTCGTTGACCTTCAAACCGGGACCCAAAAAAAAACAAACAAACATAAAACACAGTGCGGTTTCAGGGTCGGTGGTCTTTCCAAACGGCAGCCGGTGTTTTTGATGCACATATCGTATGACAAGATGACACAACTGTTCCCTCCTATACTTGAGATGGCTTTGCTGAAACCAAATCTATAATATGGAATCACACACAACGCCAACACGCCTCAGATCTCGACAAACAGCTTGGCAACGAGCGCAACCAAACATAGTAACTCTTCTAAACAAACAAAAACTTCCTACTATGCAGTACTTACAGGATTGTTTCTTCTATACTACCATATTGCAGTGTTCTTTTCTTGTGCTTTTCTGTGTCACTCTACATCTTGCCTTTCCGCGCCTTTGCGTCGCGCGGCTGCTTTAGCCGCCAGGCTTTTCGAAGCAAAGGCCAACCAGCGGAGCGGCGAGGCCGTCTGCGGCAGCATTTGGGCGGGCGGTTGGTGCTGTGTTCCTCAATTTGGGTGATCTGTTGGGCGGACTGGGAAGGTCTCTTCTTCAAGTTTGGTGGTTGGGCGCGAAGTCGTGTGGGAAGGGCGGTTCTCGGAAGCTTCACCATGTGTTCAACTCACTCCTGAGAGTCTCAGGCTCCCGGTTTAACGAGGACCTATGCTGTAAGGCCGGTTTCTGGGAGGTGCATGGCGCGACTGTGGAGTTTGTCCAGAGAACTTTGAGATGTTTGATGCTTTTGCCATACAGGGCGCCTGGAATTCTTCATCTCCTTTGGGGTCCATGTCCTGAAATCTGAAAAAAATACCAGGATTGAAATGAAAATGGGCTCCGGTTTCACCCTTGGTTGGAGGCACTACACATACTACACAGGCGCCCTTGTTGTGGTGAAACTTTGACATTCTTTCGGAATCGATCCGTTTGATGATCGGTGATCGAATTTGGGAAGGCTGGTTTGTGATTTCAACTCACTTGAAAAACAAGTAAACCACCACCTCAAGTAAACCACCAAGTGATTTCAACTCACTCACTTTTAGTCAGTGTTTTCAATCATATAAACCACCACCTCGGATCCAGGAAGGCCCCGGAAGATGCTCCATAACCATGCTTCGGTGGCGCGAAACTCCAGCTGTCTCTTCTACCAGTTCCGACCAGTTCCGATGAAAGGTTTTGGGATTAAACCTGCCAGTTCCGGATGCTGTAGGACCGTAAGGTCCCTCTTTTTCCCATAGGACCATGGTAGGACCACCTGTAGGACCATGGATGCGGACCGTCTGAGGACCGTCAAACGGTCCCTCTGCACTTCTCTCGGTCCCGACCATCACGGCGCCGGGACCGGCGCCTGGGCGCACGAAAGAACACCTGCGAAGGGGGCGAGTGAAGCGTATGAGCAGTGGGAAAGCGCAGTGTGCGAACCAAGCAATGAACTGAAACCACCAGAGGGTGCAGTGATGGTGCGTTGCTTCATGGAAAGAATGCTGACATAGTTCAGTTCCGCTGACATCGAGACCGGACACTCTTGGAGTTCCGGACACGGAGGCTACCGCAACTGGTAGAAGACGTCCAAACGCCGACATCGAACGACGTCGAACGGTGACATCCTGCATCCCTTTTTGTGATCCAAAAAGCGACCTGCGAAATCTGACTCGAAATCACATGCCGGCTCCGCGGCTCCGCAGCTGCTCGAAAACACCGACGCCAACAGCCTGGACGAAGTGGATGGGATGATGTGGATTCTTTTGTTGAATTAAGAACACTCAGCCAAACACTGTGGCAATCCATCCTAGTGTCATCTGATGTCAAGGTTCCAGCAAACATACATAATTTGTTGATTGGTCTGGCATGTCTGGTGGAAACAACAACCGGCAAAAGGACAGATCGAATTCCGATGTTTGGGCCTCCCTCTTCCACATATGCCGCGATGTTTGGGAGGTAACAGTTAAGCACACGTCGCGACCAGTTCCATCCAATTCAACGGGGTGTTTTGGAGACCGAATGGAATGAATGACATTGCCACGGCTCCAAATTTTGGACCATCCATGTATGGAATAGTCCGAATAGTTATGGTCATGGGTTATACCCATATCTACTCCATTGACGACCCATCCACATAGGTAACTATTCGAGTCCTATGAAGTGTCATGGAAACACATGAGGACATGGACCCTTTCTAGCTTCCAATCCCCGGACCATCCGGAAGAGACTAATGCAGCTTTCAAGGGACCTTCGCTTTAGTTTGGTGGTTGGGGTGGGTGGTTTGGGATCTGTCCCTCGCTTCTGAGAAGGGAGTTGGAGCCCTAGCTAGGGAACATCAACAGAACTCTTGACCATTTAACGATCACGTATGTGAGGAGCTTGTGAACTTTTGGGACACGTGCCTGGTGGAAGAACCAGCGGCAAATCTCTTCAGAAGACTTGAAGATGGTGGAGCAAGAAAGGACCTCGGCCAAGCGAAGTGCTGAAGGCCGTTCCCTGGTGAATCTACAGCCCAAAGGGGATGTGTTAGGACATGTTTGGACAACAATATTTGGTTTTGGGTCGGCCTGGAGTTGGTTTAGAGAGGGGACAAAAGGAAAAGGGAGCCACCATGCATCCCCAAAGACTTGGTCACTCCTTTCAGTCACTCCTGGGTCCCTCACTTCAGTTCTAACGGCCAAGGCAAAACATCTGGTGTTCACCATGAACTCTTCGCTTCAGATACTCTGCAGCTTCCATGGTAAATGGGAGATCTCTGTGAGTATGTCATAGACATAGACCGCAGAAACATGTAATGTTCAATTGCTTCAAAGAACCGGCCCTGGCCATGAGAAAGGACTGCCGGTGAAACCGTTAAACCTTGAGGCAAAGGAAAACGGCAACAACCAGGCATATCACATTGGAAGTTCAAGGTATGGAAAGGTGATGGATCATTAAACTGTAAATCATAGGAATATCTGAGCAGGGAGACATGTGCCAAAAACCATGCCAAAAGCACCGTTCCAAACGTGCTCTCAAGCTTGGTGTTTGGACTCTCGGCCTCATTGCGTGATCTGTACCGAGGTCTGTGAGCAGCTGAAACTCTACTAGAACGGCCACTGACTTCCGCAGCGGCTAGGAACATGCTGCGACTACCAAAAGAACACCTTGGCATTGGAACTCCTTCCTGTAGGTAGGAGGTTGTTTTTTGAAATGAATGATCTTTGAAAGGTTCGACAATCACAAAAAAAAGACCACTACTGCCAACTGTTGTTGCCATTGCCAAGGTGTTGCCTTAAACACTCTGAAACATGGAACCAACTAACATATCTTCGCAAACTCCTGTGCCACAGCCATGCTGTTGTTGGCCGGAAGGGTTGTTGTGTGATCCGGATCAAAAGTCGGATCAGACGTCCCGGAACCCTCCCGACCTGGAACTGCACAGCTGAACGCTCCCCGAACGCCTGGCCACTCCCCTAGCCCTCAATGCCGCTGTACTCCCGAAGACGTTTCATCTGTTCGGCGACACGCTGTTCCTTGCTGGGTGCAGCTTCCAACTTCACTCGGGTCATCTCCAACTCCTTCCGGGCCTCAAAGCGGGGAAGGGGCCCTCAAAGCTGAGCTAGGAGGGGTTGGGAGAGTTGCGAAGACTTGACCATGGATTTGTTGGAAACATCTTCTGCCTGTCGCCTGTTTGAGGTTATGCTTCTGGTCCTGATCATTATGATTTATAATGATTTATATAGCCATCTCCTATCCCCCAAAACCCATCTCATGCTCTGATCACCTTGGTTCTTCTCCAAGGGTCGGTGTACCAAGCGGATCAAGAAACAGTGACGAGATTCAAGTACCATGAAGCTGTAATATAACATTTACCTGTTGTTTTCTTGTTTTTTGCCGGCTTCTCCTTGTCAGTTGAGTCAACATCACTGGTCACAGAGAAAAGCAAATCATCACGCATTCAACAGTTGCAAAACATCTGAACTTCAACGGTTTACCAATGACTTTCACCCCGCATTCCACTTTCACCCCCCTGAAAACAGACTGCTCATGCTCAAAGCCAGGCAACTTCAGGGAACTGGGCGGCCTGGGCCACATCGGGTCCACAGGAACAAACAAAACCACCGCGACCCTGAGACACTGGGGACCTCGGAAACTCTGGGCCTACGAGAACTGGCTGCGGACGTGTGGACGGTTGAAGGGACGCCCCCCTTTTCATGGACCCTCGAACAAGAAGGGACCCCCCTCTTAGGGGGTTGAAATATTGAGGTGCGTTTTGGGCGCTCAATTGCAAGAATTCCCAAATACAATGAAATGCATCCCGCAATTTTCTCCACACTCCTGACTCGGGTACGGTTATGTGCAGTCATATCAGCGCCCACAGTGAAAGAGTCAAATTTGGGTAGTCGACCTGGGTGACCCCGAAAGTGACACTGTAAATGTCTTTTGCATGTTATTGACCATTAATCCTAAGATAAGTAATACTGAAGATGCTTAGATACTATAGATGCTTAGATACTAACTATGTAATCCAACCATAAATTAATGCTTAACCTCTTTGACTAAGTGGCTTCACTCTTAACGAGCAACATCGGGTGTTCTCCGCCCCTCCGTCTCCGCCTCAATGCGCGAGCGTGTCACGTAGTCGATCTCCCCCGGCTTCACCGCCGCATTGGCGGCATCAATACCCTGGCAGGTCGGAGCCGTGGAGGTTGGGAGGTGGGTTTCGAACTGCTTCGATCGATCCTACTTCGGTCAAGTTCTTCGGTCAAGTATGGCATCCAATATAGGCACCGTTTTCTTTTTGGGGGGGCACCGTTTTCGGAAGCTTCAGAACGAAGCGGCACTCATGTGCTGCTTCTCCGCCCAGGCAAGGTTGGCTTCACACGCCCTCCCCGCAGCGTTTGCACCTGCATGTAGCTGGGCCGTACCAACTGAAAGTCCGGCCGACCAGAGCCAGTTCCCGCCCAAGCTGGCACGCTGAAGCCTCACATGAGGCTGCTACACACTGGTAGTGCTAACGACGAGATGAAGAACTCCAGCACCACCTCGCATATAAGATCAATAGAAGGCCACAAAAAATGGAGTATTGTCCCTACCGTCGGGTGACTGTAGAGAATAAGGACCCTTTGGGACCATAAGGACCATCACCAGGACCGGAGTCTCTCGTCGCCATCTCCGTCTATCAAAGCTGTCCGTGTACTCTAAGTGTTCTGAAAAAGCAACTAAGTGTTCCGTACCTGCTAAGGTGAAGCTTTTGTGATGCAACAAAGAACCACCAATGGATCATTCAAGTTATCCAAGGTTGTCTCCTTAGGGAAACAAGTTCCACTATGAGGCAGGTCCTTCTGAAGAAACTTGTTCCTATTGCTTCACCTGCTCACCCTGCAAGTCCTAGCCACACTTAAATGCTTTGTCTCCAAGTAGCTCAGAATCAATCCCACCACTGCAGCCATCACCGGCACGCCCATCTCTGGCAGCTTCGACTCCGCGCGGCTCTCGTTCCAAGAACGCACGGCCGTGCGCGGAGCGACTTGCACCGTGCGGCTGCTGGGGGCCACGAAGGCCAAGCCAGCGGCCAGCGTGAGGAGGATCAGGATCCGAGCCATTGGGAGACCGGAGACAACGGGACGCGACGAGAAATCGTTGGAGTCCAAACCGCCTTGAGACGGATGAGATGGTACGCTGAGAAATCGCTGGACCGGGTGACCAAACAGGTGCCCCCCTTCGGTTGTGCGTGCAAAAGCCGAGCTGTTGATCAACAAGCTTGCTTGCAAGCTGTCATCGCATTTTCTTGTCAAGGCTTAACCTTGTGATTCTGCCTATGTATGGCCAACCAACTTGCTTAAAGCTGCTTATATAATATTCAGCTTACAAAGATTGTCACAAGGGCAACTCCAAAATGATGTTGAGTCAATCACAAAGATTCAGCACGCGTGAATCTTCATCCTAATTACCAGTATCTCCACAAAAGACAAGCAAACCAACCAAACCAACGGAATTTTATGCCGAAGGTCTCCTGATTCTCGATCAACTTCTGAAAGTCACCACCACAAACTTAAGGCTTTCACTTCGCAAACACCCATTCTCAGCTGTTTTCTGAGTGCCCGTTCACACATGGCCAGCTCCTGGAAGCTGATCCAAAGGCTTAGGTGCAAGAAGAGAATCCTCGGTTCTTCATGTTTCTCTGCAAACAAACCGGAAGGTCAAAACGTATGAGTTACCAGTAGCGGTAATAGGAGGCCTGCCCTTGTGATCTTATAGATATACATATATAGTGATACAAATGATACTCAGTAGTAGTGGACCCCCCACCCAACCACCCAACCAACCAAAGCTATATTGTTATCATCTTGTCTCGTCAGCATAGGTTCGATCTTTGTGTCTATCTTAGTAGCTACAGTACCACCGCGCCAAGATGATCGAACGTCAACGATTCCGGCCATCGGCCCAAGCTGATGGTACCGAACATCCCTCCTGGCGATGCAGGATGTGTTCCTTCACAAGTGATATTTCCATGATTGCATTGAGTTGTTCTTTTTCTGACCTCGCATGGCTGGCTGAGAGAATCACCTCAAAACAATGCTGATGAATCTTGCGTGCAAACTTTGTGAGCATACCTGATCCAAGTGGTCACCAACAGAGCCAACTATGCCCTAATTCCACTATACCTCCTACACTGCTTGTGGACCTCCAGGTAGCTTTGAAGAGACCAAGCACAATCGGATCAGCTGCTTCTAGACTTTCTGCACCTACCGTTCTTGCCAAGCAACGGCATCAGCTCCGCCGTTGGCGTCGCTCTCGGGCGCGCGGTGCAGTGCTGCTCTGCCGACGGTGGTGGCTGGACCTGAAGGCGGTTTCAGCAGCGACACAGACGGAGCAGCGACGTCCAGTGCGGAACTTCCAAGCTGAACTCCCATCACCGAACTTCGGTCGAAGGAATGATGATGAATGATGTGCTCTATTTTTCCGGTAGGACCCAAGCTGTTGATAGTTCTCACTATAATGGCACGAGTCATAACAGCTGTTCGGGCAGGAGAAATCACCTGCACCATCTGCGCTTGCTTGGCGTCCGCCTCCCGCCGCAGCGCTGCCCGGATGTGCAACGCCCGGAGGGCCCCAGCGTGCGCAGCCGACCTGACGCATGTTTGGTGGGAAGAGCAGAATGGCTTCAACTCAGATTCCACAAGTTCCAATAGTGCTGGAGATCAATGCATACTGGAACTGCGTCAAGAATGTATATACACTGGGGTGCCAAAAGTTGCGCTTCTTGACTTCAAAAACATCACAAACCCTTTCCCCTTAGAATCCTACGTGCAACATGTCAACACCTCAGTGGCGGTCAGATTTCCACACCTGAAAGCCTTATAAATATTATAAATTTAAACGGGTGTGGAAATCTGACCGTGCTGTACCTGCCACGCAAAATGGACGTGTTAATCCGATCCGCTGTAGACCGCAAGTGTCATGTTGGAACAGAGTAAGAAGCGTAAACTTTAGGGTTCTTGAAGTATACTTAAGAATATCTTGGAATCAACGGATTTGCTTGGATCCCTGGGGTTGGTCACTCCCCGAACTTCGTCGTCTCGCCCGCCTCGCTGCCTCCTCGGCCGTGCGTGTGGCGCCGCCTGCGAGTGGGGAACAGCTTGGGGGCCCTCACGGGCCATGGGGCCGACATGTTCGGGAAGTCAGCCAATAAGTGGAGTCTGAAAGAGCATGAAGCTTCTAGGCTGGTCGAGTTACAAGATGCAAACGCAAGACTCTTGCATGGAAGCGATCTTATCATACTGATGTGGTCCAAATGGGTTTAAGATGGTGCGGTTGCACCAAGGCTTGAATGGCCGGGGGGGGTTGGTTTGGGAGAGGGACTTTCATTGTCAATGGCATGTGCAAAGGATGCAAACATAAACATGTTTTGCAAATGTGTACGTGCACGCACCTGCATCTAGAGGCAATATTCACTGAAACTGAGATCTTGAGATCATAGTAATACAAACAGCCGCGTCAAGTCAAAAAAGTTGGAATGACCCCCTGGGTAGACCAACCAGAATCCCCTAGAGACAGGTCTCTATTTATATATATACATACAATTATCTACATTTATATATATATACATAGGATCTGTCAAAGCACCTTCAGACACATGCCAAACACCTGGCATAGCCAAGCAAATCTGTTCAGCACATGGCTCTGTTCCCATCATGATCGGACCAACTAACACTTGCTTATCTGTCCGGGATCACACACAAGGTTGTGATGGACCTTCGATATGGCCAGAAACTAGTGATGCAGCACACTGATACCCGAGAAAATTACTTGTCTTGACATGAACTCAGAAGACAATTGGCAACAACTGCAAATTCGTCCGCTGACTTCATTGTGTCCATACATGGCTCTCTGCGCCTGCAATGACTGCACCTCGAGTAGAGACATCAGGCTCCTGGACCAGCTCCGGTGGCGAGTCTGATGCAGCCCGAGGACGCACCAGCTCATCACGGTGTATGTGACGTGAGATGTGGTGATTGGTGGCGTGGTGGCATGAAATTCATAAATCTGCAAATCGCACAAGCACCTGAACTTGGACACAAAAGCTACCACTCAAAGCTATTCAATAGATCCAGGATTCAAGAACTCTCCATGGCCCTCTGAGTTTCTTTCTAAATGTATCCGGGAACTATGAGATTCCACACTCGCGCGGGACACCTCACCCTCTCTGCTCCAGCTCCTGTGTGCGCTCGGGAACGGGAGCCACCTGGATCTCCTTCTTGATGGGCGGCAGCAGCCTCTGCCCAGTTCTCAAAAGCATGACCACCACTGCTCAATCCCAAAACACTCCATGTATGGAATATACTATATAACGACCCCTGAAACCATCCTTAGATTGGTACATTGGCGTGTCTGACAGAGTCTGAGGAGTTCACAGCCCACCTCGCCCAGCACTCGTTCAAACGACCAGCTGAAAAACCTAACCCGCCTGCGGTCCAAAACCTCCCTTGACATCCCCTGACCCCAACACCATGGTGGACGCCCCGGAAGATGCTACAAGAAGCGTGAAAAATGGTGTTGCGGTGTCCTACATGAGGCGATCGAAAGAACTGCGGTGGACACTGCCGTGGACCTTTTAAAGTCATGGGACTGGAATAGTTCATAGTTCTGTATGCATTGTGATCATTTTCCCCATGAAAATGACCCCATACTACTATTCCAGTCCCATGGATGGCCTGGGATGGCCTGGGTAACGTGACCGAATAGGGTCATTTGGTCCCTCGACAGGTCACTCTAGAGAGAAGCTATGTATTGGTCTTAGCATCGTGGGTTTTTCTCGTCGGCTTTTAACTCTGGTACTCCAAACAATCCTTGAACAGAATGATGCAAACGGGACTCACATGACTCACACCTCTCTCTTTCCCTTGAACACCACAAAAACACATATGCACACAGTACGGTGCTACCAGAGTCTTAGATTTGGACTCTTGGACTCTTGGAATGACCAATGCTACCATGCTGCCTCGATCGGCCTGGCTTTGAGGCTCCTGCGCGTCGTTTCGGGCCGGTCTCCATGGGTTTGAGCCACCCAGAAAGCGCTACAAGAAGGCCAGGGGCTACAAGAAGGCACTATTGCGTGTGGGCACATGTTTTAGTGCAACATACTTGATACGAGAGAGAGTGCCCGTCATGGGCTGACGGGCGGGTGAACCAAGTATGCGCGAACCAATGATGATGGGGATTGGAGCGCTGGCAAACCTGGGAAGCTGCAAAACGAAAACCAAGTTTTTGTTGTCCACTGATGTGCCACGGCTGCTCTGAAATAAAGGGGGGAGGGTGCCTCAGTCACCAAGTCTTGCCTCACCGGAGCAAGTGCTGGCTATCACCGTCTCTCATAAAAACGACAGCATAGAAAGCCATTGGACATTCGATAGGAATCCAATATTTTGTTGTTACCTATCCTTTTGCCAGCCCCGGGCCTTGTGCTTGAAGAGGCATAGTAACAGTGCAGCGGTAGCTACCCTGGGTCCGCGCGCGCACGCCTTGCTGGCTCCCCAGACCCCCTTCTTACTCGGCTGGCGCCTTGCCAGGTATAGATACCCAGGGTAGCTACAATTCAGTTACCAGGTATAGTACTTCAAGTTCCCTTTCCGTCCACAGCTTTGAAGTCTCATTCGTGCTTTGAACTTATACAGGTGTGTAAGAGGTATAGCAACGTAGCATTTATACGGACCCAGGGTAGCTACAATTCAGTTGCCAGGTATAGCACTTCAATTTCCCTTTCCGTCAGCCGCTAGATAACCTTGAGAAACACAATCCACGGATTTGAAGACTCATTAGTGCTTTGACCTTATATAGGTGTGTAAGAAGGTTATGCATTCACAGCTGCACGAAGCTACAACACATCGGCCTCTGTAAAAATACACCTTCCCATTCAGATGATGCAAATGATGCAAATTGCATTTCTTGCGTCACAACCCCCTCAAAAATCACAAAACTCAACCTCAAAAACCCTTACTTCCGCGCACCCCTCTCCCCCACCTAGTTTCGAGTTTACGTGGTACGTTCTCGGCCCACCCCCCCCCACCCCCTACTTACTCACTTCGTTCGCCAAACACAACTCAGCTGGCGCCTTCTACAAAGGCTGGCTTTCGTAACCAAGCATTGATTTGTCCACCCTCTTTGGCAGGGTTTGAGCTTACCTAGGACTTAGGATTCACTCGTTGCCCCAGAACCCACGGCGGTTCGAGCGCTTTGATAAACCGATCATCCAAAACCTCTATATGTTCCACAAGCTCCTTGTTGTGAAGGACAGGGATCTGCCAAAACCACCCGGCTGAGACTCGGAGACTGTATTTACCACCCTCTTCCTGGTACAACTGGTTGGATGGAATGTCCTCGGCATTTGCTGCTGCGATCGGCCAGGAGTTCGTTGTACAAGACCTGGCCCAGGTCATGCAATTTAGAAGCCCTTGGAGCGTCTCAAAGTGAACAAACATAATAAATCAGCGTGCATGTAAACCCTCCAATAATAACAATCCTTTAGGATGAGAACTGGGCAAGGTTGGAGGATGGATGCAGCAGATCGGAGTTCAACAACATGTGCAAATGCACTCATTCATATTGCTGGGGTTCTACACAACTATCCACTACGACCCATCCGCCAATGAACGACTCATGCCATGTGAACCTTCTGTGAATGGTCAGCTACATAAACTGCACACATCGGTGAAGTCCTTCACTGTGAGGGGCCAATTCTTTTGGTTTAGCTTTCAACGAGTGTTCCTGTCGTGGTCTGGGACGTCCAAAACCTGACATGCGCAAGCCTGTGATACTATGAAAACAACATGTATATAATACCTACATGATATCCTCCGTGCTTAGACACTGGAATCACTTGTCGGGCATTTTATAGATAAATGGTCTCTATAGAGTGGGTGGCAAAAAAAAAAAAAACATACCCTACAAAATGACAGGCAAAGGTGTTTCTTAAAATGGCAAGGCAAATCCAGCAGTAGTAAAATATCACTTGAAAAATGGAGAAGTGAAGCCTCTATAAAATGATAAAGCCAGATATCAATAGAAACAAAAACAACATTGATATCCTTGTAAAATGCAACTTGTTGCATGTTTGCATTTATGCTTTGTGTATCTGTATCTGGCTTCCCATTGTTTTAGCAAGCATGTTCATCACACCATTCATCACCTCTATAAAGTGGCAGCTTATTTTCTCACATATCAGTCTTCGTCTGGATTGTCATTTTACAGCGAAAAAAGTAGCCTCTATAAAATGATATGGCAATTTCAATTTCTTTGAGATCTACATCTATATATTGGTAATGCGGCTTGCGATTCTATAATCAAAGCTACCGATGAACATGCAAAAGAGAGTCTTCACCGAGGAGGATATGAGGTTGAAGGTTGTGAAGAGCTGAAGAGCCACCTGGGCTTCGAAACCAGCAAGTCAGAACACTGAATGAAGCTCATGCCGCTGCTTGCTGCACTGGAGCCCTCCACTCCTCGGTTAAATGCTTGGCAAGGAATCACAAGACGTGCTAAAAAAAACACCGCTAAAACCAACAAACAATACTCCTCTATTACTCCTCTATAAAGCTGCTGTCACAGGACCTGGAAAAACTACAAAAACGGGTCACTCTCTATAAAATTGTCCAAAAGGCATTCAATAGAGTCAAATGATCGGTATTTTGTAATTTTTAAAGAGGACCAAGCACGGAGGATATAATTCTACATGTTCTCCATATAAATATATACCAGCATCCTCACTGCCAGGTCTCCTCGTTCGAGGATTGTTGGGGTGCAAGAAGACCTAATACGAGCTTGAGCAGCACCGTTTTTTGAACGCGTCCACAAACCAAGTCCGTTAGGGGCTATCTCACCCACCGTCAATCCGAAACTGGACACCTTGCCCGCGGCCAAAACCCAGTCCCGTTGCTGAAAGCCGCCTCGTGGAAAACATCTCGCTGCTGTTGCCTCCTGCGTTGCCCGTCTTCACGGGCTGAAGGATGACACGTTTGAAGGCCTGACATAAACCTTGGCTTTTCACCTGATCATCAGCCATACAGTAGAAACTGCTCAACCATGGGTTTCTTCGACGTGGTTCAATTGGTCTAATCTGGTCCCATGCCTTCATGTGGTTAGGATCTAAATTCCTAGATGGACAAATCAATCCAAACTGCTGCGCCACTTGGAACATGTTTCTGATTCTCGTTTGAGGCGCACACTGTAACCACATGGTCCGCCGCGTGTAGGCGGCCGTGTTTGGTTGAAAATGCGATATTGTTTTGAAACTACATTGGGATTAGCATTTCTGTGGTCGTTCAAGGTCTAAAAAAAGTTCTTTCGTTGGGAAAAACATGGAAAAACTACTTTGCATCCACGTGATTGATCTGAACTCAGCTGCTTTTGTTCGTGGACGGAGAGTCAAAGTAACTTGCTAATCTGTACAAGCACTTCGTCTACAGATAGGTTTTGCAGGCAGTGCACTAGCCACACCCATTGGTAAAGCATGGTAAAGCAGCTCGATCTTTGGGTTCATGACACTTTGTGATGACAATGTTGTGTTGTGATGTTGATGACAATGTTGCGTGTTGCGAAATCGATTTACCCCCACCCACCCACCCAATTCTTATCACATGACTTGACTAATCGATGACAATGTTGTGATGTCGATGATAATGTTGTGACATTGAGGACATTGTTGTGAAATCGATGACAATGTTACGATATCGATGACAAACAAAACGTACTGTAAATACCATCTATGTTCTACATGTTTGCTCGAACCAGAAAATTTAATACCATAGACAAAGCATGAACATGCTTATGACAAATGCGACGCTCTCCCCATTTGCACATAGAAAGTGCTATAAATACAATTTGCAAAAAAGTGGTCGAAATGCCACGGCTGTCTATGCGCGGCAGGCCAACTACACGTTCTAAGGGTGCGTTTTTATTTGGGGATGCTTTTGTTGCGTTTGGGGAATCTATTTCCACAGTCGTAGTTTCTCTATAGTTCGTTCAGTGGAACTGGAAAAGCTTTGCGTTTGGGGATTCTTTTTTTGTGTGGTCACGGTTTCTCTATAGTTCCTTCAGTGGAACTGAAAAAGCTATGTGGGTATGTATCTCGTATATATATATATATCGTATATATATATATATATATTGTATCTGTATATATATAGCTGTTCCCAGAATGAAAGAGTGTTGTTCATATGATGCACTTGGGTTGTTCCTTAAGGTGAACTAAAGCACAAGCACCAGTGGAGCAAAAAGCAAAGAGTGGGAAAGGCATACGAAGCCAGAAACGCAAGCATAAATAAAGCAACACTACCTCAAGGATTGAAAACCAACTTGCCAAAAGTGAAAGCAATGAAGACCATAAAAAGAAAGCCATTACGATAGAGAATCAATATGCCACAAAAAGACAAGAAAAAGGAAAGTAAAGGAGAAAACGCCAGCAAGAACAAACCAAGCGCAAAGGGAGCAGGAACAGAAAGAACAACAGCACAAAGAAGCAAGGAAAAGCAAGACAAACACAGAAAAGCAGAAAGAACAAAAGCGGGAGCAAGGACAAAAACCAGCAATGAGAAGAAAGGAAAGCAAGAAAGCAGGAGAGGTCATAGAGAAGCAAGGAAAAGCAAGAAAAGCAGCAAGAAGCAAATCAACAAAACAATTGCAAAACCAAGAAGAAAACCCACAAAATACAATAGCCCTCCTTAAACAAAACATCGAACCATGATGCTTCACTGAGTCATTGGTATCACATCCGGAGAGCGACCACACCTCCCAATGCGTCCTCTCCTGCGCTTTCGTGGAAACAAATGCAACTCGTTTTAGGATTGGAACAAGGTCGTAAAGAACAGCCAATGTGGCCCTCTCCCGTCACAGATAAGGCATAGCGCATGTCAAATGTTGGGGTCGACCCCAGTGAAAAACCGTGCAAATCAGCAAGTGCCCTGCTGCCACACCGTCGGACGGATTCGCTGGTCGCTCCTGCCACTCATCTGCTTGGTGCAAACGGCACCATTGAGAGCAGTCAGAGTCTTCTGTTCTTCATCGGGATCTGTTCCAACCATACGGCTGCGCTATGTTCTGAGAAGATCTGAGAAGCCGGTTCAGTCATCTTCATGAACTGCACCATGGTGGACTTCACACGTTGGATTGCGACCCGGGTGGACTGGACTGGAGGGGTCATATTTGGACAGCTTCAAAGCCCTTCCCTTGGACCGAAATGATGATGAAGGCCTTGAAGATGATGAAGGAATGCCCAAGCTAGCTGTGATTTTTCTGCATATGGCATTTCAACTCCATCCGGTCAGTCTGCTGCGTATGTCTGCGTCGGACTCCGCGTTTGACCCATGCTGAATCGGAGGGACGAAAACAAAGGTGGATGCGAAGGAAAGGGTACTACTAGTCTACAATAAAAACATATAAACACATTAGTGATACGTAGTGACACTCAACAAGTTCCACAGTCCAAAATGATCAGAATGAATGATCAGAATGCCGATCTTGCCACCAAATAATTCCTGGTTGATCCTGTTTGCCTGCTTCCCACCAGACTTTTTCCATTTGCTCTCAAGTACCACGAACCCTGCCTGCAGCTCACCATGTGTCAGTCTTTGGCGACGTAGTAGGGGTTGTGGGGTTGGATGATGAGCTTGGGGGGCATGGTTACGTCGATACGTCGGATGGAGTTGATGCGTGAGGCGGGTTGTTTTGTTGGGGTGCACGCAAGAAAAAACAACATCTATAGTCTCTAGGCTCTACAAACAGGCGCCTTCCACTTCCATGTTAATTTGAGGGAGAACAACCGAACTTTCGTTGTTGAAGTAATCCAAACTATATAACAAGACCACTACTAGTAGCAAGAAGCTAGTAGGTTGGAGGCCATCGCTCTTAGGCTGGGGGCCGTCGCTATTAGGTTGGAGGCCATCGCTATTAGGTTGGAGGCCATGGCTACTAGCAGCAAGAATGCAGAGGTTATCCGCTGACAGGGTCGGATCAAGAGTTCACCACGCACCCGCGATTCTTTCTTCGCCCGACTCCGCGTGAATCCACGTGGCGATGTGTGTCCCGGGCCGTCCATTAACAGAGCACGCACCAAGCGTTGCCCAAGGGCCAGGCAAAGTGTAAATTTGGAGTCAATGAAATGTGCTGAACAATCTGAACACCCCGAATAAGAAAGTCAATGTCAATAAGGGTATGTATCCAAGGGTGATCCTTTTGCCAAAGGTCAACCTTGGTGATTGCCTTCATCCACTACTGCAAGTTTGCCCGAGCAAAACGTGTTCGAAGCGACTATTTGGGGAGGAGTCATCAACTTGATACTATGGGTGTTGAAGTGATATACATATATATATATACACTTGTATATGTGACTGGGATTCTCCCAGATCACAAAGGTAGCTTCTCAGCCCTCTACCAACAAACCTACGGGGATCTACCTAGATCTTCTACCTATCCACGAGTGGTCCCCCACCCTTGTCGGCGGTCCCCCGCTCTTTTCTCCTGAGTCCTGTCCTGCTCCGAGTTGGCCTTGAGCCAAACCATCATTGTGGTTTGTGGTCATCATCTCATGGTTTCATTCGAAGGTGGCTTCACTGGCTTGTCGGTTCGATCGATTCACACTGGTTGTGTTTTCTGTTCGAATGAAATCGGCTGCTTTGGAAATGATTCCACCCATCGAGTGCTGAAGGTTCTATTCGGATTATTCTTCAATTCGTTAGCGTCATCATAAATCCGAAACTTTCCAAGTGACAACACTTTTCTCATGAAAGTCGAATCCATTGGCTTGGTTAAACAGTCGGCTATCATGATTGCCGTAGAGATCCATCTGCAATCTGTTGATTCACTTGATTGTTGCTTGATCAACATGACCTCTATCGTTGTTCGCCATTCTTGGCAATTTGGTGTAGCCATCTTATTCACCAAGTCATACAGACTTTTACAGTCTGTCACCAGCAAGGCTTTCGGTTCGGCTTTCAAAGATTCCTCTGGCTTTTGCCAACGGAAACGGCTGTCCTTTATAATTGCCCACATGCATCTCAACCATGTCAACTTATCGAGTGATGATGACATTGCATATGCCTCTGCGCTTAAAGTAGAACGAACAACTCTACTTATTTGCTTCGAGTGCCATGCCATAGGTGATATATCAGAGATCTTATTTTCACTTAGTTCTTTGGTGCATGCTGCAATGAAGACACCCTGCTGTGCCTTAAGCTGGGACTCTGAAGCGAAGCTTGCGTCACCAAAGCTGGCAAATGTTACCTTTTCCATCGGGATAGGCTGGACAATGATCGTGGTTTCTGATGTCTCTTTTGCCTCTTTGAGAACTCTGTTTCCTTCTAACAGGTCTTGTACCTTTGCATCACATATTCTCTTCTGGAGAAAGGATACTTTTGCCATGATATCTGGACGCGAGTGAACTGCCGCGTACTGCATGCTCCCGCAAAGGGCTCTTAGGTGTTGGAGTTCATTGCTAGTTACCTTTGCTTCCGGTTCTTTTCTCCTAAGCTTCGGTACATCTATTGGATCTATTTGGTGAATATAGTCCTTCTGATTTATTCTGATCGAAAAGTCGGCTTGCTGTTCGATGGTCAGGCCTGTAAATTTGAATTTTCCATACTCACGATTCCCGAAAGGCAAATGCTTTTGAATTCTTTCTAATGCTGCTTCGAATCGGCTGTTCCCTCCCCCAATTCCATCATCAACATGTGTTCCAAGAATCCCATCTAGCTTACTTGGGTCGAACTTGTTCCTTAGGAGGAAAATGCAATTGTCCAAAGGATGTGCTTCAAACACTTCGTTTTCAAGTCTGCTACGAAATTCTTTGTAGAACAACAAGGGGGCATCGACTCTTCCGTATGCGTTTCCTTTCAGTTTCAACACATGCTCATTTGAAAGCTGCAACATTGATTTGAATTCTTCAACCGGTTCCATTGCTAATTCTCTTTCATCCGAGCGACCCCTCAAAAAGGCTGTCTTAATGTCGAATGCTTGGACTGGCCAATGAAGAGAACTTACTGTTTGTAGGATCATCATGCGGCCGTCTCGTGAGAGGGTAGGAGACTCCGTCGACACAATGCCTACCTCAGGGTCTTGGAATCCTCTAATTACTAATCTGGCTTTCGGTTTTCTTCCTGAAGGTGCATTCTGGTCTTCCTTCCAAGTCAAAACCCACTTCGAAGACATTATTCGGCTTGGATGGATTCGGTCTCTTAGCAACGGTTCAACGGTGCTCGTTTCGATCCAGCATTGCAACTCTTTTCGTTTGGCTTGATCGAACTGTTGCTTTTCTTCCTTCGTGAGATTTCTGTACTGCACTTCGGTGTGCGTTTTCTTGGCTGCTCGGTTCAGGACTTCTGCATTTAAACACGGGTTCTTGCAAAACTTCTCCAATGTTTTCATTGGCACTACTAATTCGAACGAACAAACATGTGCTTCAGCTTCTAAGGATGCTTCTTCACTCCAGAGAGTGCCCCGGTCATGCACTGCTGGCTGGTTTGTATCTACCCCTTCTATCATGCAAATATGAAACATTGCTGAATCCCCTTTTGATTCACATGTTTCTTCACCCCTTTCCAACCCTTCTGCAGGTGCTTCCTTAAGTTCCTCTTCTGCTGCTGGATCTATCACCGGAATCTGGCTCGCATCCACTCCCGGACACTTCTCTGCTGATTCGGTGTTCGAATTTCTACGAAGAGGTTCTTCCTCTGGCTGGACATTTTGGTGTTGGGACCTCACGGACTGTCCTGCTTCGGATGGCGTATATTCTTCTGTATCTATCTGATCTGACAAATCCGAAAATTGGAACATTCCGCTTCTTTCTTTGAGCTGATTACGAAGTTGGTCAGCCATCTTTTGCAGTCTTTCTTGATTCCCAACTTGGCTAAAGCCATGGTGGCTTTGGAACTCCCTCAGTGACACTGACCTCATGTTTTCCCTAGCTACTCTCAGCAGTCGGTTCAAATGCGTCACCCACACGATAGTTCTGGACTCGTGCATTATCACCTGACATGGACCGACCCATCTCCCTTTTTCAAGCATGTTTGGGGCTTTTCTCTTATCCCAAATCATACATAGTTCACCGCAGTTCCAGTCATGCTCCCTACCCCTAGATTGCCGTAAGATTGCTCTTCTGATTGCCTCGCTATTATCGGCATCTATCATGGCTTTTCGGGCTTCGGTTCGAATGCTCATTCGTCGTTTGAATACTTCTGATTGCGTTTCTTCTCCTACTCCTAACGAATGCGAAACAATTGTTTCATCGCTGCAAATTGAACCTGGGATTTTTCTGGCTCTACCGAGGACTGCTTGCTCTGGACTAAAGCCCTTTACCACGCTCATGCTATTCTTTGCTTGAAAGCACTGAGTCAGAGCATAGTCGAAATCTTTGTCGCTTGATATTGGGATGTGATGGTCAATTCTGCTCAGCATTTCTTTCACTGTTCCTCCATGTCTTTCTATTCTACCTCGTTGCCAAGGTGCTGCCGTTGTCACGGAGTGGATTCCGTTCTGCTGCAACATATCTTTCCAGTGCTGACTAACGAACTCCCCTGCAAGGTCATGAACCATCGTTTCTGGGGGACCCGCCCAATTCATCCAGGTTTCAGTGACTACCTTTTCCGCCTCTTCTGTTCCCCTTAGACATCTCTTCCCCAAATGAAAGTGTGTGGATTCGTCAAAGATGTGAACTACATAGAACTTTTTCCCCTTTTCATTCTTCCATTCGAAACCGTCTATGGATATCACCTCATTGAATTCCTTTGGCTCTTTCAATTTTCCGGGACTAGTCAATTTGGGACCCACTCTCTCTGAACAAGACTGGCACAAATAGTCGGCTGCTCCTTCAATCACCTCATTCGAAAACCTCAGTCTACGAAGATGGGCTGACAATTTTTCTGCTGTTGGATGACCGAGATTATTGTGCATTCTTTGAATCAAAGACTTCTGGAAGCTATCTAGCTTTAGAAAATTGGGTCCTGAATTGTTCGTCGACTGGGGTGACCATGCTGGCACTGGAGTTCTTGCCAATGCTTCTGTTGACTCAGCTCGAATTTGTCCACCCTCT